CCTTTATGTGCATTGCGCAGTTCATTTTTTCAAACCCTCATACCTCCTTATAAGTACACATTTTTTCATTTTTCAAAACCCCACAGGCGGCGACGAGTAGGGGGCTGGCATGCAGCAGGGGCCGACGGGCGGCGGCAGGCAGCAGTAGCGGGAGGGGCAGACAACTCGCTGTTTTCGGTGTTTTAAAAACAGCAAAAGCATGTTTTTTTCTGTTTTGAATATTTTAAAATAGAAGTACTCCTCTAAAAAATAAAAACATAAATAAATAAAGAAAAAAAACAGATAAACAAACAATGTTTTTCTATTTGTTTTCAATTTTTTGATTTCAAAAATAAAAAATAAAAAACAATTAATAAATTGTAATTATAAAATTTATTTAATTACAATTTTCATTTTAAATATAATTAATTAATTTAATAATTATAAGTTTATTAATTGCTTAATCTCAATTAATAACTTAATTAATTACCTTAGTATTTGTAAAATCTTATAATAATCTATTTAATTAACTTAATAATTAATCAAGTAAATCCGTAATAATTCAGATAAAATATTAATGATTTAATCAATTACTTAATAATTATAATTTAATTAATTAATTAACTTAACATAACATTAATAATTCAATTAATTAACTAAATAATTAATTTTTTTTGTTAATTAATAGTTTAATTTAATAATTAAATTATTTAAGTTAATTAACTTAATGATCATAAATGTATTAGTTATTTAATTTAAATTAATAATTATAAAATAAAGTTATTTAACTTAATAATTATAAAGTTTAATTAATTAGTAATTTTAAATTATAATTTAATTAATTAACTTAATAATTATAAACTTATTACTTATTTGATTTTAATTAATAATTTGATTAATTAACTTAATAATTATAAAATTTAAATAACAAATCTACTTAGTTTTTTAAATTATATAGTTTTTTTCTTAAAAAAAATAAAATATACTAAACCAAATATATTTTTTATTTATTTATTTTTTAACAAATAAATCATAATTGTACCAAATTCATTTTATCAAAAAAGAAAACAGAGAAAAACAAACTAGAAATAAAAATAAAAATAGAAAATAAAAAGTGATCACAAACAGAGTTTAAAGGTCATTGTCGACCAACACAAATAATTTTTATAGCCAACTATGATTGTTATAGTCAACTACATCTGTTATAACCTCTAAGTACAGTTTATTTAGCCAACTATGATTGTTATAACTAGAAACCATGGTTTTTGTAGTCTACTGTGACTTTTATAGATAACAATGATGGCTTTGCAACTATCTATGACTATTATAGCCAACTATGTGGCCTACTATGTTGTGGTGATTGCCGAGAAACATAATCGGCGATGAGCAATGGTGGTTAGAGATCACTATGGTTGATTGCGACAATGTCGAGCGACAAAGGCTATTTGAGGCAATGATAGTGGCAGTTGGCATGGTGGTGACTGGTGTTGAGAACTTATTCTTGTGATAGTTCGTAGTTGGTGGAGCCGAAGATAAGTTATGACGATGACAATGCAATAAGTGGTTAGTCGCAAGCAGCAATGGTGACTAGTGATCGATGACGACCATCGACGTGGATCATTAGTGATAATAATGACAGTTTATAGAGTATTTTAACATGAACAAATCTAATCAATTTGAGCTAATTAGAAACACATTAAATATTATATTAGACTTCATTGAAATTTTACACTTCCAATTTCCTCAAATATGCAAGCAAATAACATCTACTGATTTAAATTTACACTTCAAATTTAAAGGGTTTTTTTTGGCAGCACTATTCAAACAATTGTTAACGTCACCCACTATCATTTCTTTTTCTTTAATCATTGTCTATTTATTAATTTTCCTTACCCAAGGGCGGAGAAGTAAAGGTGATCTGGAAGAAGGTGACCGGACATCAAGTACAAGCTCTGTTGTTTCTCGACCTAATTAGGGCTTTTTGGAGCAGCAAGCTCGACGTTGTCCCGCCATTAGAGACCCTTTGAAGCTTTTTAAAGTCATTATCCGAGCTCCACTAAAGCGAGGGTTCTGAAGACATTAAGTGAGGTATGGTTCGTGGGGGAGATTTAGATTTTTTCATATGATATCGTCTCTTCTTAGCTTTGTATATGGTTTCTTTTGCGTGGCTCTTTCTCAGAGACAGAGGCTTCGGGAATTGCGATTCTGCAGCGGAGATTTTTGGGTTATGGAAAAGTAGTGGAGTTAGGGGTTTGTAGGGAGCGCGGTGACTGGGCTTGGTTGCATGCAGGAGAAGAGTGTTGGAAGTGTTGAGCTGTTGCTTTGCTGCATGGCGATAGATTTGAATTTTTGCTGTCACAGGGTTTGAGTTTTTATTTGTTTTATTTGTATATTTGGGAGGATTGATTTTTGTAATACTGTCATGATGAGTGAGACAATAGAGAAGAATGGGTCTTTGCAAAAAAATAGAGAGGATGTCGGCGAAAGGGATGGAGGCCTTCGGCCTCCTGTAATAGAGGTTGTAGATGAGGAGAGCAATCATTTGCAGGCAGAGACCAGTTTGGAGAAAACTGCTGTTCTCGAGCAGGATATAGCTGAAAAGACGACCGTGGACATGAATATGTCATCAGAGGGAAAAACAGATGATGATGTAATTATTCTTTCGGAAAATCAGTTGGGAAGCAGTACGGTGCAAAAGGATAATTTTGCTGATGAAGAGCGGAGAGACAATGTTTTGGACAAGGAAAGCAAGGAGCAGCTTGTGAATGGTGGTACAATGTTAGGGACGGATACGAAGAATGCCCAGTTGGAAGATGATCACTTTAGTGAGACTCCCTTGAACTTGAAAAAGGAAGGTTTTGCTGGGAGTTACCATTTTCAAGCTGAGGGCATGAATCAAGCCTTTTCTTTTGATCCAAATTGTAGTGAAGGAGACGATTCTGGAACAGAGGAAGAACAATCTGCTTTTATGAAGGAGTTGGAGAATTTCTTTAAGGAGAAGAGCTTGGAGTTCAAACCACCCAAGTTTTATGGAGAAGGCCTGAATTGCTTGAAGTATGATTTAGTTTGTTTTTTGTTATAAACCTAAGTCGATTTATTTACAGTTAGTATCTTTGCAGGTGTGTTCTAATTTTGTCTTTTGATAAGCAGATTGTGGAGAGCTGTTACAAGGCTGGGTGGTTATGATCAGGCATGCACTCATGCCTCTATTTATTTTTCGTTGATGTATTTCATTTCATTTCTTTTGTTGTAATATGTAGTCATTGAGAATCAAGGCTTGGAATTTAGTTCCCTTATTTGAGCAGCTATGTTGGCTATTGGTGATTTTCACTCTATCTTTTGTTGTTTTTACTTGGGCATTGATATCTTCATGCATTCATGTAGTTGTATTTTATCATATACATTCATGTGAAAGAACTTCATTATTTAGTTACTCTTATATAGTGAATTTGTTGAATATAAGGTAATGCTTTTGATGTTTAACTACAATATGAGAAAAAAATTGATTAAATTTCAGCAATTTCTATCTATTCATGGAAACAGATTAAACATTACCAGTGAGGTGCATAATGTTTTCACAAAAAGTTACCATTTCACCCAATTTGTTTGAATTTCAAACCGTTAAAATTATTGTAAACATTTTTATGATACACATCATTTTATTTTGTTTCAGTATTTATGCAGTGCAACATTCATGAATTGATTTACAATTTAGAATGTACATGAGGTTGCTATCTCTGTTTGCTTGATTTATGGAAGTATGCTTAGAAATTTATAAAATTCAGGATTGAATTATCTCAAAACTTTTTGAAAGTCTTTTCATACTTTTATTTTTAACAATACAATTAATGGTCTTTATCTGTCATTTGAATGTTGGATTATTGAAAAAACAAGAATAAATTTGGATAGCAAATCTATTTTTTAAATGGAAGATACTGGACTCACTTTATTTTATAAAGCCTCCATCAAGCAATTTCGCTCCTACAATTTTTTATTGAATTATTTTCGATGTCTTTTGTTTTGTTAAGTGCATAACATTTAAAACTAGAACTACTTGTCATCAATTGTCTAGATTTTAGGAAACAATCTTACATTTTGAATTACCGAGTTTGAAAATTGAAAATATCTTTACAATTTGGCATCAGATTTTTCTATTTCTTAAGCATGTAGTTCGGCTACATGCCATCATGCACCACACTTTCTTTGAGTTTTTAATGGACTGAAGTTGTTCTATAGCTCCTTAGGAAAGGTTATCTAACCTATTATGTTATCTAGCATTTCTGTGTACCATCATCCTTACTCCTTATGATCGAAAACTAATATAAATATTGTTTTTGTGATATTTTTTTGTTCTAGCATACTTAATTTTTAGAGTGAATATATCTCTAGGTGACTCATTGCAAGCTATGGCGTCAAGTTGGAGAATCTTTCAAGCCACCAAAGTGAGAACTATATTTTTTACTTCTTATTATTTAAGTGCTCTAGAGCTGTATTTTGGGTTTATTCATTTGTTATATAGAATAACTAGTAGCATAAATAGTTGTCCTCCTATCCAACATGTGCAATGTAAATTTATCATGAATGTGTGCACGGACTTATGATGATACTTTTGTGTTTTGATTCTCTTGAATCGCTTCCTTGGAAAATAATTATCTGCATTCTTCTAGTTAAAAACTGTGAACTATATATTAAAAGTTTAGTATTAATGGAAGTGGAGCTTAAATGCTAACTTTATAAAAGTATAGTTACAATTGTGCAACGGTGCCTTATGGATTTTTTTGTCGGGAAATAAATAATACACAAAAAAAAGCTAAGTGTGTTGGAACTTGGAATGCAGGATGAAAAGATGGATGTTCGATAAAATTAAATCAATTTATTGTGAATGATAAATTGACTTTGTTAGTGAGATGGTTGGAGTCAAATTTTGTTGAAAACTGACTTAATTGTTTTTGGCATATATGAATGATAGAACATGTACTGATAAGGCGAGTAAATAAGATTAATTTGGAATGGTTAATTATGAAAAATGAGTATATAAGGGTAACATAGCTAGAAGATGTGCAAAATGATTAAAGTCGAGATAAAATAATGAATGATTGCAGAGAAAAAATTCCTATTGCTGGCTCTGAATATGTTGATACAAAATTGTGATATTTTAATAACTCACTAAACCTTTTTTTTTTTTTGGCATCTATTGTTACATTTTTAAAACAAAATACTAGATGATGAAGTAGAATGAGCGAGGATGTATCACCACAAGATCATGCCTTATGAGGCTTGGAGGATCCACACTATGAAGAATGAACCATGTAAAGACGGGATGAGAAGAACCAGCGGGCATTCTTAGTTCTAGGATTACTTCAGGTTTTTATATCGACAGGGCGTTTCTACTTTCTTTGCTTTGGGGTGCATAGTAGTAGCCGACTGCACTAGCATGTTCTTTATATTTCTTTGGTCTTTTTCTTTTTGTGTCTGCTCTATGATTTGTTTGCTTTTCTTGCATAGTAGAAATGCATGTTTATTCTTAAGTTTCTTTCTGTGTGGCGTGCCTATTAATTAGTCATGTTTTCTTATTAGGCTCTTAAGATAAAATTAAGATATCTAACCAACTGATAAATTTTTACCAAATTTTGTAAAACCAACTCAGAATCAAAACAATATAATATAATTACAACCCATAGCTACAACGCTTGGGCAGTTATTTCAAATATTATTACTTTTGCGAAAAGTAATATGGCTAATGAATTTTTCAGGTCAAAGAAAGAATGATGCAGGTTGATAAACATGCAAATGAAATAAGCAATTGAGCTGAAAGTATTGGAAATGACTATTCTCTTTGGATCTAGAACTGTAACAAGCTTGTATGATATTTATTTACCTTTAGAATTTTTGTGATAAAAATGATGAGAATTACAGCTATGGTTTATTTTATTGGTTGATCATTATTGCTAGCATTGTAAGGATAGCAAAGTAGGTTTTTTATTGGTATAAAAACATGATTTGGGTTTTGCAGCTTTTTAGTAGAAACTTGTTTGTAGAGCTGGTTTTTGGAACTCTGACGTTAGAGAGTCTTTACCTGTTTTAAATGGAGATTATTCTTGTGCTGCTTCCCATTTTGCATCATTTACATCTTTGTTCATGCATAATTGTAAACATTTACTATGATATTGCTCAAAAGAAGACATGAGTCTGTATTTGATTTTAATTAAGCTGCTAGACATCATCATCATCATTTGCCTTATTAAATAAAGCAGCTGGACACCATTGTGTAATTCTGAACCATTTATCTAATCGATTGATTTGCTTGTCTTGGTAGGACTTGTACAACTGTCTCATGGTCATTTCGGTGTTTCTACGAGAAGGTATTTTTCTTATTTTATAGTTTTCTTTTCTGTATATCTTTTTAGTCCTAATGTCTTTGTTTCCTTGCCATTTTGACTAATTTCAAGTAGTTGTTCATTTTTACTTGTGCTGTGAAAATTAAACATATAGCACTAACATATCGGTGAACAACAATGATATTTATAATTTGCTAGGTCAGATGCATGCGGATTTGGAAATGATCAAAGAAAGAAACAACCAAAAAATCCATTGAAGCATGATAGCTTGAAGCTTACTTATTTATTAGTGAGGCTTTAAGATTAAGGTTATTACGTGTCAACAGTAATCTGCTGTTTAGCTGCTGTTTGTTCAAGGCTACTTATGATGAGTCTTAAAGAGATCTTATTTGAACGGTATAAAATAAATATACAATTTATGAATGTAAAAATGCTATATAATGTTTTGTGTTATGTTACTTAAACATTTAATTGGTCATTGCTTTTGATAGGGAATAGGTGTATTTTTTTGTTTGCCTTCATTGTGCTCGTATAGATATGTGTAAAAAATTAAAGTGTGGGCTTCTTTACTAAAGCAGGTGTAAGAACCCTACATAAACCCTTCCATAGATCCTTTGGTATGTAGGTGCCTTCGGTGTTGGATAAGCTTCCTTGTCTATCTCTCCATGTGATTGAATTTCCTTTTGTCTGCAGTTAGTAAAATTAGGGATGAGTGTTATTTTGAGATTGATATTTAGCTGATTTTCTGTTTAATTTAATGCAATAATGCAGTTAATTAAGTAAAAATAAATTTTCAGTAGAACTTAGGAGTATGTAAACTTATGTAGTAAATTTACTTAAATATTACATTTTAATATGAGTAAGAAGACTGAAATGATATTTCAAGCAAGATTTGAGGATGTAAAAATATTCTCCTCTTGACAGTCTTGTTAGGGAAGTTAGTTTTAAAAATATATGCTATAGAACAGTGTCTTATGGTATGCAAAGAAATGTTATTAATATGAAGAGTGAATATTAATTAAAATTATATAACTATTTTTATATGTCAACATATATATTAGTAAAGGTCATATTTGTAGAGTATATTAGGTGATATGCTTGAGGCGCCATGACTCTGAATACTTTCCTCATTTTTTTCCTTATGCCTATTTAAAGGTTCTTATATTTACTTACTTAGATGTAAAATACCCTTTCTCATCAACGTTGTATCAGAGAAAAAATTTTGATATCTTTATTAGACACCAACATCAAAATATCCTTCCTTCAACATTACTTCTTCTAGCATGAACCCAACCTATTTATTATTTTTTGCTTGTGTTGATTTTGTGTCCGCATGCATCTTAACCATGTGTACACATCTGCATGCGTCTCTTCTGCTCATTGCTACTTGTACATGTCTTGCTTGTGCAAATGCACTTGCATGCTCGCTTTGGATCCTCACGTTGCTCAGAGTTTCCTCATTTGACGTTTACTTGCTTCTTTATGCCCTAGGACCCCAATCTCTTCCCTGCTCTTTGCATGTTTCCACCTTTTGCTGATAGCCTCATCACCTCTTGCCTTTGTCGAACCCATTATTATACTAATGCCAACACTTGCTCTCTGGCACACACTCCTGTTTTGATCGAGAACTAACTTTATCTGCATCCTCTTTGACTCATTTTTCTTAATGGTGTCATGATCTCATAATTCCCCCTCAGTGTCTCCCAACTCTCCTTTACTATGAGCATGATAATCAAGTTCAATGTACCAATTATTTGGTATGATTGTGGATCATTGTCTTGTTGTTTTCCATGAAAAATTGCATTGTCTTGAATTTTTTTTGTCCAAATAGCAATATCATTATCAATTTTTTAGAGTAGCAAGCTTTTGATTATGCTATCCTTATGTGGTTGCTCGCTACTCTTGAACATATAATGTCTATTGTATTTGAAATCCGAGTAAGAAAATTTTATGTTTTCTTTGTCCGCCCTACTTTTAGAAAATGTGACACTTTTTCCTCCAAATAGCAATTTCATTGTCGATTTTCCCAAGGTGCCAACATTTGATTTCACTATCATTATTTGGTTACTCATCACTCTTGATATTTTTCGTGAATACTATAACACTATTTGAAAGGTACATTGAATTAATCTCTCTCTATTTTAAAACCACTGCTTCATGACTGACTAACTATTTGGCAGATGTTTAATATTGAAGTTTTTTAAGTGAAATTTATTTCTTTCATGCATTCTTATTTGTGGGATGTGCAATCGTAGTTAATGAAGGTCTTCATGATGCTTAATGTTCAATCAATTTATTTTGCTTTTTTTCACTTCATTGAGCTCTCCACTTTTTACACTCAAGCTCCTCATCAATGGCTTTGGATACTATCTGATAGGGGGCGGGATTGGGACTTTCGTGAACTGAAATTCCAGTTTTTTTACTGGCTGGTTCACATGATTCACCTATCTAGGGATGCGGATGGCCCCTTTTGTCTTCTTTTTTTTCGAATTAGTGCTATCATT